AACCAAAAAAATCAAATACTTGGGAATAAACCTAATAAAAGAGGTGAAAGACCTATACAAAGAAAACTATAAAACACTGTTAAAAGAAATAGAAGAAGACACAAAGAAATGGAAAGACATCCCCTGCTCATGGATTGGAAGAATAAACATTATTAAAATGGCCGTCCTCCCAAAAGCAAGGTACAGATTCAATGCTATTCCAATAAAAATCCCAATGACATTCTTGAAAGAAATAGAATACTAATGAAATTCATATGGAACCACAAAAAACCACGAATAGCCAAAGCCCTGCTGATGAAAACAAAGGAGAAAGGAGGTATCACACTTCCAAACTTCAAGCTATACTACAAAGCTATAATAATTAAAACAGTTTGGTATTGGAACAAAAACAGAACCACAGACCAATGGAACCGAATAGAGAGCCCAGAAATAAAGCCGCACTTATATGAACAACTGATCTTCGACAAAGGAGCAAAGAATATGCAATGGAACACGGATAGTTTGTTCAATAAATGGTGCTGGGAAAACTGGACCACCACATGCAAAAAATGAAACTAGACCACTACCTCTCACCGTGCACAAAAATCAACTCAAAATGGATAAAAGAACTGGACATAAGACCTGAAACCATAAAATATATAGAAGAAAATATTGGTAAAACACTACAAAACATACATCTCAGAAACATCTTTAAAGACTCATCACCCAAAGCAGTGATAGTGAAGGCAAAGATAAACACCTGAGATTACATCAAACTGAAAAACTTCTGCACAGCAAAAGAGATATTAACCAAAACAGAGAGAAACCCCACTGATTGGGAAAAAATCTTTCCACTCCATTCAACTGATAAGGGACTGGTCACAAAGATATACAAAGAACTCACATGGCTCAACAAAAACAAAATAAACAATTCAGTCAAAAAATGGGCAGAAGAACTCAAAAGACATTTCTCCAAAGAGGAAATGCAAATGGCCAACAGGCATATGAAAAAATGTTCAACATCCCTGATAATCAGGGAAATGCAAATCAAAACCACACTGAGATACTGTTATAGGGCAGCCCCAATACAAAACGGGTTGCCTGACTGTGGGTCCACACCTGCGCGCTTAAAAGGACTTATAAATACTCTACTGCAGGCACACCCGAAAGGTTAATAAAAGGTTTATTTACAAGGGAAGGGCAAATGAGGAAATGTACAACTCAGGGACAAAAGTGGGAGACAAAATTTTAAATGCGTCCTACCCGATCTGCCAATCTGGAATCTCAAATGGCACTCTGAGAGCTGGCCGCAAGCCAGGAGCCATGAGGCCAGGAGGAGGGCAAGAGAGCGAGCGCCCCAAGGCCCACGTGTTTGGTTTTTATACCAAACCTGGCTGCTTAATTCCACCCTCAGGTCCCAGCCACCTTCCCTTTGGTGGTGATGGGATTTGTCTTTCCCAATGTCCTGATGGCTTTGGTCTGGAGTGGGGGTGGAATCCACAAAGCCTGCATGGGATTAGCTCAGGACATCCTTTCCCCCTAACAATACCACCTTACACTAGTAAGAATGGCACATATCAAAAAAAAACAAGCAGCAACAAATGTTGGCAAGGATGCAGTGAAAAAGGAACTCTCCTACATTGCTGGTGGAGGTACAAACTGGCCCAACCATTGTGGAAAGCTGTCTGGAGGTTCCTCAGTCTACTAAAATTGGAGCTACCATACGACCCAGCAATTCCACTACTAGGGATCTACCCAAAGGACACAAAAACAGTGATTCAAAGGAGCACCAGTATACCTATGTTTATTGCAGCACTATTTATAATAAGTAAAACCTGGAAACAACCCAAATGCCCAAAAATAGATGACAGGATCAAGAAGATGTAGTATATATACACAATGGAATATTATTAAGCAATCAAAAAAAAGATAAACTCATGCCATTCCCAGCAACATGGATGGAGCTAGAAGGAATTATGCTCAGTGAAATAAGCCAGAAGGAAAAAGAAAAATATCGGTTGGTTTCACTTATAACAGGAATATAGGGATATCAAATAAGACATCAGTGTAAAAATTAATAATAATAACAGTACAAAACACAACAAAGCAAAAACAGACAATTATAAACCAGAGACATCCTGCAGGGGAGGAGGAGGGAGAGGGATCAGAGGGAGGGAGGGGGGAGCACAGGGGACTGTGGTGATGGTGCACGGGTGCCTTGGGGAAGGAAATTCTATGGGGACTCAATCTGAGGGGGTGGTGGGAAGCAAATATTGTCTAAAAAATGTAAAAAAATAATAAATGTTAAAATTTTAAAAATCTGAAAAAAAAAAAGAAAATACTAGCATCTCTGCACAGAATAGACGAGATGTGCTGCAATGCAAGCCATTGGCCACACAGCCAACACAAGGCGAAGCCTTCACAGGCCTCAATATTGTTACGCTATTGATTCCTATGATCACCGCTGGAATTGGGTGGGCTGCCCACGGCAGAGGGGGCTCAAGTACCAGCACAGCAGACACGGTCCAGACCCAAGGTCTCGGAGAGTGTCTTCGGAGGCTGCAGCCAGGCTTGGCAGGATGGGGGACAGCGAGGAGAGGCTGTGAACAGCCAGGACCCCAACCTGGGATGGAAATGGCAGACAAGGGAGGACAGCATCAGGGCAGGGAGAGAGGCTCGGGCTTCCAGAAACCTCCCAGAATCTCATCTTGGAAGTTGGTCTCACCTCTTGCCGCAGAAACGATGGACACAGAACCCGGAAGCCAAAAGCCAGGAAGCCACTAAGCTGCGGGGCCCCGCCAAGAAGCCAAACACCGCTGCGCTCAGACCCCGCCCCCGCGTCAGGCCCCGCCCCCGCGTCAGGCCCCCCCCCGGTGACCCCGCCCCCGGTGACCCCGCCCCCGGTGACCCCGCCCCGGGCGCGCTGGGCGGGGCCTCGCCTGCGCCTCCTTCCGTTGCTCCCGGCTCCTCGCAGCGCCTGCTGCGCGCCGGGCTCAGGGCCCTGGGCCTGGGCCTCACGGAAGGTAAATGGCGGCGCTACACTGCAAGGCGGTGTCCAAAGTCTGGGGTCTGCGAAGCAAGGACGGAGGCGGCGCGGGAGCGCTGGGCACCGCAGCCGAGGAGACTTTTCCGTGCAACGGGAAGAAAGAGAAAGGACCGGAGGCCCCTCTGTGGTTTGGGTTTTGCTGTTGTTTTCCAGTCGCTTCGATGAGGCAGCCCCACGTGCCGTCTCCGTCCCTCTGGTTGTCCAGGACTCATGTGTTCAAATGAATAGAAGGAGTGTGACGAAGCTGTGGCGTCGAACTGGTCCGCGGAAAAAGGGAATTGAACAAGAAACTAACAGCCGGACTCTCTGCCTCGGGGCAGGTGCCTGAGAGAGCCTGACATGCATGGGGGAGCCTCTGAGCAATTCCTCGCTCTCCCATGTCCGTCCTGGGTGCCCTCCCACCGCTGTCCCCTGCGGAGCCCTCCCCCGGATGGGTGTTTCCTACAGCTCTAAGCTTCGGTCAACAGCCTGATTCTGGACGCGAGCCAGAAATGGGAGCAAGCGTTCATTCGGCTTCTGGAAATAGTCCCTCCGTTGTCCTTGAGCGCACTGTTACCCCATTCTCAGTCCCTGCGCAGTGGTCCTCGTTCCCCAACACTCCCCTATTAAGTGTGTGACTTAGATGTCACAGAAAAAAATCAAATCCTTCCTTTGGCCACAGTGATTGATCAGGAATGGGCATGTGACTGAACTGGAGATTGTAAAAAAAGAGGGGTCATTTGAAGAGAGTAGTGAGAGAAACACGTGTTTTAGCTGCATCTGAAGTTTGGGGGAACTAGCTATGAATTGGCCAGACAGAATATCTTACAATGAAGTCAACCCAGAACTTAGAGCCAAGAAATGGAGAGAAAATGAATCACCATGGCATCATCTGAACCCTAACATGTACCTTGAACCGGAAATGTGAACCTGCTACTTGATACCACCCTTAGTACCAGACTTTCTCAGATACCTGGCTGAAGAGTCTCTTTTTTGAGTGAGTTCAGTTGCATTTACAGTCATCCAAAAATTACCCCCAATGTAAGGGGACTTTCCATCCCTGGCGTCCTCTTGCATGCAAGGACACTAAACCTATATATAACCTTCTCAGTCGTTCAGGTCACCTTTCTACAAGAGGAATAAAGAAACCTCGTTAAAAGGATTGGAAAGATTAAAAGAGGCTCAGAGCCCCAGTTTTGAAAGGGTAAAAAGATAGCCAATAATAGTCACTACTGGGCACTTTTTTCTATTTAGTACAGTCTTCATTGCCAACCAAATGTGTAGACTAAGAGAAAGAGCCTCTGTTACTGACTCCATTATGGCTGGACATCATGCGATGTTCACTACCCATGCCCATTGGGCACATTAAAAGACCAGTGACTGCATAGCCTCTTGCCACGTGTGAGGAAAATACTGTTTTCCTAAAGCTCCCCAAATAATGGTGATTGATGATTTCTCATGTGTGAAAACAAAATTTCATTCCTTAAAATGTTGTGGTGTCTCCCAGGGGTTTACCCACATAAACCATCTACTATTTAAGAAACTCACCCTTACATCCTTTCTCAAGTCATTGGAGGCCCTGCTACCTTAAGCAACTCTCCCTCTTTCAATCTAACATCTTCACAGTGCCCTGACTCTGCTTTCCTCGGAACATCCAGCTAAATATTCTCCCACTTGGGAGTGAGTGTAGGACTGTACCTCATAGTTTCCTTGGGGTTCAGGAAAGTGAAAGCCATTAATAACCCCACTTTATGAAAATCCCAGATGTTCCTATTAAACAAAAGAGGACAATTAACTTTAGTTCCTTCTGGAGCCCCATTGGCAGGGAGTAGAAACAGCAATCTACAGCTTGATAACAGACTGCTTCAGATGAAGTTTGCCTAAAGCAAGGCCAAAATTCCACAGAGAAAAATTACCCGTCTTGTCATTTAGCCACCCCCACCCCCCCACGGTGAAGCACCTGCTAATCTTGCAATGATCAATTCCTTCCCTATAGATCATCTACATAAAGAAGGGAAAAGACCCCAAGTCTACTGAGATAGTTAAGGGGACAGCTTCTACAAGTCTGTGAACTGCCACTTGGCCTCTCTATTGAAGACCAAACGTGTCCTTTTGACCTCAGGAAAATAGCAGCCTAATTTTGACATTGATCCAGGGTCAATGGATGTTCTAGAAGAAAAGTCTCGAGAGAGTAAGTAGCCCCTTATCATTGCCTATGCCCCTTCTTTGCAATTGCAGATTAGGCCAAAATTCTCATTGTTAGCCCTTTGGAGACTGCCTCATGAAATCTGATACCCTTAGGCAGTAGAGAAATCCACAGTGCTTGAAACCGGCATCTGGGATGCACATACCCAGTCTGCATCAAGGTAACAGTCAATTCATTCATTTTGTTTTCGCTGACTTTAGGATCAGAGTGTGTTTGCGGTTGTATACATGCAGGTAGCCCATTCCCATTACATCCTACGTGTGGGCCGTGTCCCAAAATTGCAAAGCACTGTACACTATGACCCATCACTTTGAGCATGAGGTACTTGAAATTTTTTACAGAAAATGAGCCTGATCTCTGTAATAATTGTTAATAGGTACACTTCCCCTCTTTACATGACAGCTCTGTTAATTCCTTTGCTACAGTTCACTTTGTAGTTGTTCTCAGGGTGCAAATTCAGTATCTGAATTAGCCTGAATCATTCTTGCTCTGAATATAAGCATTGGGAACCAAATATAAATTGTCTTATAATCCCAGCCCAGTATCTTATCCCATTTATACTACTGTATCTGCCTTGCTTAGAAGTCCTCAGGTATATGGAAAACCTCCTGAAAGTGTGTTATGTACTCTGAGTTTCCTAGTTCTGTCTTTTATTTCAGTGGTTGACTGATTCACTATAATATTCTTGTTGTGAGAATTAAATTTAAATTGATGAATGGGGGCCTCCCCGGTGGCGCAGCGGTTGAGCGCTGGGTTGCGAAGCTGCCCGCGGCCTCTGCGGCGCCGGTTCGATCCCCGGCTGCTCTCTGGCCACCGGAGGAGGTCCCACATGGCGCGCAGATCTCTCCTGTGACCCACTGCTCCCCTCAGCAGTGTACTTCGGTCCTTCTGCCTGCTCTGCTCCCCGCTCTGGCTCTGGTGAATTCTCTCACCCTCCCGCGCTTCTGACTGTGCCCAGTGCATGTATAAAAACAAAAACAAACAAACAATAAATAAATAAATAAATAAAATATGCCTCTATAAAAAAAAACTAAATAAATAAATTGATGAATGGTCCATATTAAATATATTAACAAAAGCAGAAACTAAGTCTTTGTCGCACATAGGATTTGTTTCCTCTTTATGTCCAGTTGTCTGTACAGGAGCTTCTTGAGGCCTGTAGTCCAGATTTAGGAGAGAGTGAAGAGTCTATTGTGGAGCCAGAATGAAACATTTTGTGGGGAGCTTTTCTTCCAAATAAATGTGACCATTAGCAGTGGTGAGTCAGGTGGTTCTCAGAGTTCTTTCTCATTAGCATTCCTGATAACCCCCCACTGCCTTTAACTCTATGCCACTTTTCTTTCCTTTGGATGCTACACACATTTTGATGTTTTTCTTACCAGCTGCACCTCCATGCAGCCCCAAACAATTTTTACTTGATGACAGGGATATGGGTGAGGTAAAGGATCTGCTTGTCACCTTAACTCTACTTTTACTTCTGTGTATTGAATGGAGTGACCTAAAAAACCTTTGTGTTAGGAAGACATCAAAGACCTCAGTAATCCCGCCTTTTAAATTTAATGTTCACAACCTCATGGAAATAACCTTTAGTATAGGTTGAGTTAGTGATTAGTTCTAAAATAAGGGAAAGGAGGTGGGTGTCATTTCATTTATTTATTACTGAAGATTGTAACTTCTCTCTTGCTAGCAGACTCCCAGCTTTCAGGAACAAGCTGCCATATTGGAGTGACCCACATAACATGGACGTGGAACTGAGGTCTCCAGCTAACTCCAGCCCATAGAAAACAAGGAATTGAGGATCTCAGTCCATCATGCCTTGAGGAAATGAACCCTTCCAACAACTACTGAAGTGAACATTGAAGTGGAACCTTGATCCTTCCCCATTCAAACCTGCAAGAGACCCAAGACTCAGCTGACATCTTGACAAACTTGTAAGAGACCCTAAGCAGAGAACCTAGGTAAGTTTTGCCTGGATTCCTGACCCACAAAAACTGAGATAACATTATATTCTTTAACACACTAAATTTTGAGGTATTCATTCATTCCACAGCAGTAGATTATGAATACAACCTTAATTACTATTCCATTGGTGTAAGGTGTAGCATGGCTTTAGTACAGGCACCAAAGAGGGAAGCAAGCTCCTTGACAAGTTCCTGCACATGTTGTCTTCACACGCAAGACTGTCTCACACTTTCTTATTCTGGAATATATTATTGTGTTCCACAAAGCCCTGAGTAGCCTCGAGAAGCAGGATCTAGGTCCGGCGGTGTTGGATGGAATGAGTGACCAATGTGGAGTCATGAGTAGGGATGATGGTGTCATTCTTGCCCTCTGATTTTCATCCTTTCCCACTTACTCCACTATTGTAGTTTCCTTATTCTTTGATTCAGTTCCCCCACATTCTGAGTGACTCTGTTGAAAATCACTACAAGTGATGGCCAGGTGATCACTTGACCCGGCAATATTGCCATCAAACTAGACATTCCCCAAGGAAGATCTGAAGATATTCCCCAAGGAAGATCTCTTCACATTCATTCCCGTTGCTTGAGGGATTTTCACAAGCATGGAGATCTTGCTGTAGAATTCAAAATCTACCTTTCAGAAACTTAAAACCCCACACATCACAGATTTTGCAGCCATCACACATCTATTTTCTAGATTCTGCCCTCACCAACCCAGTTCCACAACAGCAAAGCTTATTCATACACAACTTCTCAGTGACAACCCACCTGTCAGATACTCTGGAATCAGCAACATTTTCTAAATGAAAGTAAGCTGCTATTTGTCAGAAAAGAAAATGAACACCCCTGATCTTTTCAGTGATGCAGTTTCCATACTAATTTATTAAGGTAAAGGAAAGGGAGAGGATGAACTGTTCTCCATTCTATTAGGGTAAGGTAAATAGTAGGGAACTTGGCCTAAATCACATATAACCTACAGAAGAGAAGGGCTGTCAGGAGTCGATGACATTTATTCTTCACTAGAAAGCTCTAAGTGAAGATTTTTCTCTATCACTAACCTCAAGGCCTACACACCCACACACATCCAATTCCACAACATTCTGGAGGCAACAAGGGATATCGTTGTCCACAACATTCTGGAGGCAACAAGGGAGATCGTTGACTTTATTATGCTAGAGTAACCCACCCTATAAATATTTATGGTGAAGAAGCAGATGAAAATACAGTTTAGGGCATGTTCTTCTGGACTTTTAGAGGTTTTTCTCACTTTTGAAAGACCTGTGGCGCGGGCCATGCTACTCATGCCGTCTGACAAAGGTCCAGACGGCAGTTTTCTGAAAATTCAGAAAACTCAATAGCTGGCTCCTGCTGCTTCCTTTCATTTGTTTGTGCCAGTTATTGAAACCATGGAAATTTTCTATAAGCTTTAAAATAACACAATGAGCGTTGGCATCAATGCCAGTTTCGATAATGCACACCTCTGTAGTTTGAAATAAATGTACCTTCCAACATGTTTGATAATGAAACGGTTTCCAATAATTCTCCACGTCCTTATGGAAACCCGGCCCTGGTCAGAGCTGTACTCTGGCAAGTGGCGCCCAACATGGGGTATGTACGGTAAATTTTCTCTCATTCAGGGACGGCTAAGATCTGCTCGTAGGTAGGGCACATACCCCCCTGAGAATAGCAGGAGAAGGGGAGCAGTAATCAGAGAAATTTTGAGAAGTCATGGGCCATAATGAGTCTAGGGAGAAAAGCTCTTTATTGACATTATTAAACATATGCTTGCAAAAAAAGGAATTAAGACGACATGTGCACAGTTAGCTAGCTTCTTAGGATTTGTAGAAACATGCTGCCCTTGGTTCCCTAGGGGTGGCAGCCTAGATACTAAAACATGGAGTAAAATAGGAAAAGAAATGAAACTATTACTCATCACGGGCCTGAAAACATGCCTGTGGAAGCATTTGTAATATGGGGACTTTTAAAAGATATGCTAGATCCCCGGCCAGAGCCACTATTTCTTGATAAAAGGTTAAAAGAAAGTTCTGATGCCACCTTGGACGAGACCACACCTTTACTTAATAAATCTGATTCAAAAGTGTTTGTGGCTAAAAAATTAAGCTCAAATAAAGATTCTAGTGAAACAGAAGATGAAAGGGAAAGTGATGCAGAAGGTGATGATGCAAAGAAAAAGAGATAAATTGACCCCAGAGGATGAAGTAACTCTTGAAGAAGAGGCAATTAAATACAATGACAGTAACTGGGATTGTTTAATTAATGCCTCAGCTCCAGATTTTGATGTAATTAATTTTATGCCAAAATATCACAAAGGGCCATGGAAGAAAGCATCTGCTAGTAAAAAAATTTTGCCTTCTGATGCCAGAGTAGGCTTTTCAGGGGCAGTACAGGAAGCCCTGCGAGACGGGGATTTCACTTTTAAGTGCTTCCCTGTTAAATTTGATGATGAATGGGATGATCCTCAGTGGGAGCCTCTCCCATATAAAATTCTAAAAAAAACATAAGACTGTTTCACCTCACCATGTACTATATAGTTGGTTGAGGCAGTTTCTAGCCGCTGGATGACTCCTTATGATTGGCATCAAACTGCCAGATCTTGTCTGCCAGCAGGAATATTCTTACTTTGGAAAGCAAAATATAAAGAATTGGCTGAACAACAAATTGCTCAAAACAAAAAGTTGGGACAATGGCTACAGTTTGTCCAGGAGAAGCCTTTAAAGATGTATCTCAACATTTAAAGTTTTGCTTTGCTTATGCAGGAAAACCTAAGGCCATTAAGACAGATAATGCACTTGCTTATACCTCCTCTGCCTTTAAAAAATTTTGTAATTCATTTAAAGTTAAAAGAGCTCATCAGACCTTAAAAACACAAATATCAAAACTATAAAAATCAAAATATAAATATAGCTCTGTACATCATATATTAAATCATGCTCTGTCATCAATTACTTAAACTGTGATTCTCATGCGGTCTCTCCAATCATGAGACACTGGGAATCTAAGGATCCAAGCCAAAATCACTGGAAAGATCTGCTATCGCGTTCCTGAAAAGGGCCCAACCCTTTACTAACCTGTGGGCGAGGCTATGCTTGTGTTGTTCCACAGGACGCTGAATCATCTGGATCCCTGATAGACTAATTCTACACCTTGGTTCCTCCTCTTCGCCTATTGCTACTTGAAGAGTCACAAGCCAGCCCTAATCCATCACCAGCTCCTGCTACAATGTGCAGAAACCCCCCTCCCTCTGTTCCATTGTCTGAAACCTTGCTTGCTGATTTAAATAGTGCTTGGAGTAATGTAGATAAATTTCGGGTTTTCTACCTTGGCATGAATTTATGTTTAAATCTAAAGGACTATAATATTTCTACTGCTCTGTGTTTGCAAGAAACAGATTGACAAAAAAATTGAAGCCCGGTTAAATGTTCTTAAAGAAACTGTTTTATATGTTGGCAGTCAGGTTCAACATCTTAAACCTCATTTGACCACTAATGTCACTCTCAGTACAAATGGATTTGTGTTACTCTCCACATGTACAATTCTTCCTCAGTCCCTTGGGACAATGTAAAAATCACCTTCTAGGAGTTTGGAATAATACTGATGTTTCTTGAGATTTAAGCTTCCTTCAAGAAAACATTAAAGAGATCAGCTTGGCCCAGGTCTCCTCCTCCTCTGCCTCAGAGGTTGCCAGCTTGTTCCTTGCTACATTACATTATACCACCAATACTGCATGGTTCCCTTTCCTCGTTAATATGGGAATATCGTTACTGATTATTTTCTCCCTTTCATTTTTATTTCCAGTCATCATCAAATTGTTAAGCAGAGGAATCAAACAAACTCATCTTGAATTAAAGACTTTACAACTGAAGGCCAAAAAAAACAGAAGAGGGGGCGATGGTGCGGGCCATGCTACTCATGCCGTCTGACAAAGGTCCGGGCATGGGGAGGATTTCTGAAAAGTCAGAAAACTCAATAGCTGGCTCCTGCTGCTGCTTTTAATTTGTTTTTGCCAGTTATTGAAACCATAGAAATTTTCTTTAAGCTTTAAAATAACACAATGAGCATTGGCATCAATGCCAGTTTCGGTAATGCATACCTCAGTAGTTTGAAAAAATGTACCTTCCAACATGATTGATAATGAAACGGTTTCCAGTAATTCTCCATGTCCTTACAGAAACCCAGCCCTGGTCAGAGCTGGACTGCGGCAGGCCTGAAAGTTTTTATTCTATCCATGAAAGTATCAAGACCCTAACATACAAAATATCTGCACAGAATCTAATAAAGGAGTCTAGGATCACACTAAGAACGCCACTGTCTGTCTCCCTACAATGCAATAATTACCTTTCAGAAGCCAAAGAGAAATGTCATGGAGCAGTGAACTAACCCCATCCTCTCCCTATACACAAGTCCTAAAACCCTAACTCATGCCCTCATGAAGCATAAAAAGAATATCCCAAGCACAGAGTTCAAGTTCATCACTTCAAGTTTATTTTTCCCCGTTAGTCGGATATTATCGAGGCCCTTGACCACACATACACATAATTGTTGAAAGTCTGATATGCCTAGGATTTACAGCCCCAAGATCTATTCTGTCTTCAGCTACTACTTCCTTCATATATTTTTATTTGTATGAAACCAGAAATAAAACCAACAGCATCTCTACCCTCCTTATCTCTTATAAGAATCCCTGTTCACCAATTATTAATAGGATGAGAGACCAGTACCAATGATCAGAAAGGATGAAAAAGAGGGAGGCAAGGGCATAGGATATCTCTGGAATCATGATGAAGAATTTAAAAATCTTTTAGCAATTTTTATTCCACAAATCACTTTAGGGCTATTGACCCCTAAATATTCTCATTCTCCTTCCTTCCAGCCACACAATGTCTCACCCTGCTGCTCCCTCTTTCTTCTCTCAGCCAATTCCCCTCTCTCCCTTGAAAATTATTGTCTCTATTTTACCAACATAAAATTCAGTTATG